GATTTTGGTGTAATAAGGTTTACCTGTTAATAAGAAAAAAAATTAGGGATAAGATTTTGTTCGTTATAACAAAAATTCGTTATAACGAGGTTTGACGTACATTAAATAAAAAATCTATGCATATATGTATGACAAGAGTAAAATTATGTGATACGGAGAACTTTCAAAAAAAAAAACTTGATTAAAAAAATGTTTGGAGCTTTTAAAACGACCATGGTCACCCTTGGTGGTTTATTATGGTGAAGATAGTTGGTTTTTTTTAATATAATTAATATGCACACTCTTTTTGCTCTTTAATTTTTAAATATTTTTTCAATCAAGGAAAAATCCATCAAAGATGAGTAGAACTCGTAAAGCAAATGTACGTAAAAGATTAAAAGCTGTTGATAGAGTAATAAGCGTGTTAGTTAAATCAGGTGTAGAATGTAAAGCATTGGTATGTTCTAAAAAAATAAAACTGTCGCTGTTACTACTATTATTATTATAACTATAATATGCTATGTTATGTGTTATTAAATAGGAAGAACTTAAGAAATTACCAAAAGAATCAAAAATGAAACCAAGAGATAAGTATACAGTTTTTAGCAGAACTTCGAAACATTATAGAAAATCATTTCATAAAGTACCAAAGTTCACAAAGGTTACAATGAGAACATCTCCGCCTGGATTCTAAAAAGTGCTTTTATTTTAATAAAAATAATTTTTAATTCTTGATAAAAAATGGGGTTCGTGTGTAATTCATCATTAGGAGTCATCAATGGTGTCACTAAAGGTGTATCATCAGGTGATTCAATATCGTTATTTGGCAAGAATGATTTAGGTTCAAGAAGAAATGGGAATTGTGGAAATGATGGAAATGGATAACCAAGTAATTTATTCTCGTCGTTATTCTCATCGTTAAAATGAAGAAGATGATGTTCAAGGTCTTGCTTGAATGATTGTTCTTCTATGATTTCCATATCGTTATTGTTATTATGAATTGTAGTTTTGGTGGTAACTAATTTTGTAAGTTTTGGTTGTAATGGCAAATGTAGATGGTCGAAAGTTAAGATCATGTCTTTGTTTTTGCGTAACGCTCCATTAAGAATTAATTCTTGACTTGGTTCTATATTGCATAATTCTAAATATGCACTCGGTGGATAGAGATTGTCATGATTTCCTGCAAAATATAAAAATATAATTTGAATTAA